GATCAAGAGGAGAGAGAGAGGGCGATCAAGAGGAGAGAGAGAGGGCGATCAAGAGGAGAGAGAGTGGGCGATCAAGAGAAGAGAGAGAGGGCGATCAAGAGGAGAGAGAGTGGGCGATCAAGAGGAGAGAGAGAGAGGGCGATCAAGAGGAGAGAGAGAGGGCGATCAAGAGAAGAGAGAGAGAGGGCGAGCAAGAGGAGAGAGAGAGGGCGATCAAGAGAAGAGAGAGAGAGGGCGATCAAGAGGAGAGAGGGCGAGCAAGAGAAGAGAGAGAGAAGAGAGAGAGGGCGATCAAGAGAAGAGAGAGAGGGCGATCAAGAGAAGAGAGAGAGGGCGATCAAGAGGAGAGAGAGAGGGCGATCAAGAGGAGAGAGAGAGGGCGATCAAGAGAAGAGAGAGGGCGAGCAAGAGAAGAGAGAGAGGGCGATCAAGAGAAGAGAGAGAGGGCGATAGAAGATTGAGAGGGTGATCAAGAGAAGAGAGAGAGTAATGTAACCTCCTAATGTAATGTATAACTCCTATGAAAATGTTCAAAAAGTGCTCAAACTTCACATGTGTGCTAACAGTCCAGCCGTGAAGACATCTACGGGACAGTTTTGAGATTTCTTCAAATGCCGTTGCCATGGCAACACAATGCTCACCATGAAACACGGTTTTCTCATAACTTCAGTGAAAATGCTCGAAATGGCCCAAAACTTCACAGGTTTGGTAACGATGCAGCCATCAACACATCTAAGCGTATTATGGGGTGTCATCAAATGCCGTTGCCATGGCGACAGATAATTCACCATCAAGTTAGTTCAAAAGTTTGTAGTTCAAATATTCTGCTTCATTCACTACTACTTACATCTGATATTTAACTCCTTCAGCCTATTTTCAGCTGCAGAAACCATTCAACTATTACATTATTCAGCTAATTCAGGACATCAAGGCTATACATGTTTGTTTAAACCTTTTCTTTTAAATATTAAGCTTTTTCTGCATTTTTGTAGCTAAAAGCAGCTACCATTCAGCTAATAACATATTCAGCTTTTTCTGCATTTTCAGCTAAATTCAGCCACAAATGTTCACAGTTTACAGCATTCGCACACATTTTCTGCAGGAAATGCATTTTCTAGTTTTCATTTACACTGCATTGCTGTGTGTCCCATTCTTTGGCATGCATAGCCATTTCATTGTATTTGACTGTATATTTAAGATACAAGAGCATTCTGTTCTTGTATCTTATTCTATTTACATGTATATTGACTCCTAAATGTAGTAACTTACAACACTCTCTGCATTATTTAGTTTATTGTATTTATTCATTGTTCTGACATGTATATATAGTTTACTTGATCAGCATTACTTGCACATTGGTCTTGCAACATAAACTTCTTCTACTCTTTTCTACTGTTTCTTCTTGCACTATTTCTATTTTGTATTTGTATTTGTTTGTATCTGTTTTATTGTGTTATGTCCTATATAACTATGTTACAATGTTAGGGGAGCTTGGGACTTCAGATTGTCAATGCCATTTTCTACACTGTAGCTACTGTGCATATGAAAATAAAGCCTTTCAATTTTCAATCTTTGAATTTGAAATGCTTTTCCCCGGCAGAGGTGTAAAGTATATTTACTCAAGTGCTGTAACATTTTTAGATACTTGTTCTTTACTTGAGTATTTCCATTATTTGCTAGTTTGTACTTCTACTCCACTACAATTCAGAGACTAATCGTATACTTTTACTCCACTGCATTTATTTTGTACCTTTAGTTATTTTACAGACTTGGATTAATGATGTGAAATATAATCAACACTTAAAGGTGGGGTAGGTAAGTTTGAGAAACCGGCTCGAGATACACTTTTTGTTATATTCCATGGAATGCTCTTAACATCCCGATAGCAATGAATATCTTAAGTGCTTTGACAAAAAATCCATAAAAAAATGTCATCTGTGGAAGCCGTAGTACTGTAAAAAGTACGACCAATCATTTTAGCCGGCCCGGCTAAAATAACTGGATGGCCTACCTGCCTGTCAGCCTTCCATCTGTGCACAAACTTATCTCGTGCCCTCATTGGTCATGTGCGCGTTCGTGTGTGTTGGAGGAGGGGCTCTGTAAGGAAGAGGCAGATTTTTTCCGGCTGTGTATTTTCAAATTCTAGCGATCTCGAGCTGCTTTCTCCAAAATGACCTACCCCACCTTTAAATAAGACTTTAGTAACACCTGGAGTAAATTCACAATCTACCCTGCAGCAAACAAAGTGATTAAAACTAGCTGCACCTTTACCAGCTTTGACTAACACTTTAATGCATCAATAACTATTATTAAAATATATAATATATATTATTCTGTAAGGGGAAATCTGCATAATAAGTGCTTTTACTTTTGTACTTTTACTTGAGTAACCTTTGAATGCAGAACTTTAACTTGTAACAGTATATGCCTACACTCTTGTACTTCTACTTTTACTGAAGTACACGATGAGTACTCCTCCCACCTCTGTAAACCGGTGTGGGACCTTGTGTATATTTTTGTACTTTAAGATATCACGAAACTCCCCATTTTAAACATTTGTTCTCTGGTTCCTGATCAGTACTGGTCTTCTTGTGAATTGCTCTTGCATGGCTTTCGACTCTGTGAGAGTTGTGAGAAAGGTAGTAGACACTTTGGTTGGGATGAATCTGGGCCCTTTCTGTCAGATTCAGATTTTAATATTATAACTGAGATGTTGGTTAGTGGCAGTGAATCTGTGCAAATTTAACATGTGAATTTTACTGAGGCCATTGTAACCTTGCTGTGCGATTTCCACATTCATTATAATAAAGGAAATGAGAAGGCTCTATTTAATAGCTTTCATTAACATGATTCATATTTGTTAAGCCATTGCAAATACAATGTTTTACATTTTTTTTAAAACACAGTACAAGGGTGGAAGGACTTTACATAGTAATGTGTGAACACTTTTTCATGGAAAACCTTAATCAGAAACATAGATAGACGTTTTTTTGTTTAAGTGATAGCCGTCAAATGAATGTACCGGCTTGGAAAGTATTCTCCTGTAAAATGAAAAGTAGAACTTTATGTTGCATGAAAGGAAAGCAATAAGATGCCATCTGAGAACCATTTAGTTTTATAGGCAACTCCGGTGATCAAACTAATAAACGTATTTAAATAATATAATAACTTCAGCTCAAGCCCATGTGGACATCATTTAAACATCTACTGTTTGTTACAACTTACATCCATTTACTTATTATGTCAGTCATACCAGCAGCCTGGATGACCCTCATTTGTTTATATCTTTAGCGTTTAGGGTGAATCTGGTATTCTTACATCATCACCATACAAAGCTTTATTGTTAGATACATACATTAGATCACGCAGCATTAAGTGCACCGATCATTTCTATTCATTAAAGCACAATGTCGATTATTATTTCCAACTTCAGCTTGAGTGTCACCTTGAAACCAAAATAACAAACAATTTGATTCCACTACAAAATACATAAATATACAAAACAAAATGACATGTTGAAAACATAAAGAAATGTATTTGCAACTTAATTGCAGTTTTTTAAATCTTCAGCATAGGTTGCATTGCTCAGTCCCAGAGGTAGCTGCCTGGTGAACATTCATCCAGATGAAAAAACTGCTGCATTTATGTGCTTACACACACACACACACACACACACACACACACACACACACACACACACACACACACACACACACACACACACACACACACACACACACACACACACACACACACACACACACACACACACACACACACACACACACACACACACACACACACACACACACACACACACACACACACACCACACACACACACACACACACACACACACACACACACACACACACACACACACACACACACACACAGCTGTGCCCGCAAACTCCTGGCCCGCAAATTATTGGGTCTAGCTATGTACTGAGTGTGTGTATTTCGCGTTGAGTGATGTACAATGACAATGGCATCCCGTGGAGGAATTCTGCAATTGTTTACGTTACATCACGAAAACGCACAGCAGAACCTAACCCTGGAGCGCCGGCCTCTTTATTTACTAACTCCTCTTCATCCCCTATGGGTAATAAGGCTGAGATGAGAACTCTCCATCGTGTCACTTGTGTGGGTATATATGGAAATCTACTTGTTGGTGTAAACCATGTAATACCTTTTCAATTCAAAGTTATGCCTTCTCGGCAGCGTGAATCCTTCTCATGTGGATCAATAATTCATCGTTACGTCTGAAATTGTTCCCACATGCTTTACAAGTAAACGGTTTCTCACCTGTGTGGACTTTCATATGCCTTTTTAATGTTGTCGTCTCAACGCAGCTTTTCCCGCAGGTCATGCAAACATACGGTTTCTCACCTGTGTGGACACTCATATGCCTTTTTAATTTTGACGTCTCAAGGAAGCTTTTCCCGCAGGTCACGCAAACATAGGGCTTCTCTCCTGTGTGGACTCTCATGATGTGAAGCTTAACATTACAGTTGAATTTGAATTTCTTTCCACATGTTTTGCAAGCATATTTTTTCTCACCTGTGTGGACGCTCATATGCCTTTTGAATTTTGACATCTCATTGAAGCTTTTCTCGCAGGTCACGCAAACATATGGCTTCTTATCCGTGTGGGTGGTTATGTGTCTTCGCAGCATTGACATGTACTTAAAATCTTTCCCACATGTTTTGCAAGTATATTTCTTCTCACCGGTGTGGACTCGCATGTGTTGCTTCAATGAACTACTTTCTCTGAAATCTCTTCCACATTTTTGGCAAGAATATGGCTTCTCATCCGTGTGGGTGGGCATGTGTCTTCGCAATAATGACAAGTACTTAAAATCTTTCCCACAAGTTTTACATTTAAAATTATTGTTCACTGTGCAAGTATTACGTTGCATGTCTGACAAGTTAGCGTTGTTTACATTGTTCCTTTTGGTTTTGTGATGTCTTTTGTTTATTTCTGGATCTGCAGTTCTTGAGATGAGCTGCAGATGACTTTGTGCTTCTGATACCACAACGCTTATAACTGGCATGTTGCCTACAGACTCTTTTGCACAAGTCCGTCTGCTGTGCACACTTTCCTCATCAGTAAGAGTCACCATGAAGACATCAGTCTCCTGCTTTAGTCCAAGCTGCTCTTCCTCCTGACTGGTGCAAAGTTCCTCCTGTTCCTCTTTAATCTGTGGAGGCTCTGGGTCCTCTTGGTACAGACTGGAGTTCCTTTCCTGACTACAGAGCTGCTGGTCAGTGAGAACCTCCTCCTCATTACAGACATGTTGCTGAGGGAGCTCTGGAGGGACAGAAAATAAACAAAGTACTTGTTAGAGCCAGTATTTTGCTTTCATAAGAAAGGCCACCTAATTGTGACGTCTGTAGTCAACGCACTATAAAGGACTACAATTCCCACGGCGCCTGTGCTAAAGCCACAGTGATGGGCAACCTGTTGAGAGACGCCGTCGAGGAACAGTTTTTAACCGTACACGTACATACAAATCGTACAAGTATCCTTTAAGTTATGAAGTTATAAGCATTATCAAGAAAGAAAGAATACCTAAGTTGTTTGTTATTTTATTTGAGCTTTGCCTATTTCTTTTGAATATTGTAAAGGCCTATTTTCTTTGTTGCATGTGCACAAGTTTGTTATTTTATTTTGAGCAAACACATCGCAACATCATCTAAACCATCGGAGGCCAAGCAACACTTCAAACTGTGAGTAATTTAAAGGAAAGAAATTAATTAGAACTGTCTGTTTAAGGCGTCTAGTGGCTTGATGGAAAGACAAGGAAGGAAGCCACAACAGTACTGTTAGTGTGGTGTTAGGGAAGCAAATTGCATTCAATGCTGGGCAATGGTGTTAAGATCAATATCACAATATCAAGACAACAACAAACAAGACAATAGAAATGCATTATGCATAACATTTATAAATAGATTTGATCAAATACAAATAAAAAACATTAGGCCACCAACTTTTTAAAACTATAACATTATTCTAACAATGTGTATTTTAACTGCTGTGCTTTGTGTATTTGTGATCTGTTGTTGGAGATCTGAATGTGAATTAATAAACAGAAAATAGCTAACGAGAGGCTTTATTTAACCATAATGAATCCCATTCAGATTGTTTTATAATTTGTAAGGGTCAGGGAATAACTCTGTAGAGAACTTCGGTCAGAGATAGTTATTGTTGTGCAATAAGCCATAAGCGACAACAGATGTGATTCAGTGTCCTCAGCTGTTTAGTCTATCTATTGAAGAATGTTGATTATTACACTCTGAACTAGTTAAAACCTGGAGCTACAAGAGGGTTCTTCAGAATTGATGTGGCATCTCAACCGTGTGGTCAACTCGTGGCCCGTGACATGTCTTGTCAATTCTCCGGCCGAAGCTCCAAATAAACCATCAGTGTTTGCCATCAAAGCTCCAGCTCTCCTCGTGTCTCTATTGCGGCTTTCACACCGGCGCTTTTCACTTTCTAGCTCCTCGCGAGAGCTTTTCTGGTTCAGCTCCCGTTTCCCTTTTCAGCTCCCGCTCTGTTCACACTGCCCAGAGCTGCCGCTGCTGCGTCATGACGTCACAGTTTACGTCGCTGATTTTCTCCCACAACAACAACGGGCCGGGGACTGCATCGGGTCGTGTTGCTTTTAATCATACGAAGCCAGATTAAATTAAATAACGACTTCTCCAACCTTATACTTTTCTCCAGAGTGCCGTGGTTCATTGTTTATTAATGTGTTTCAGCGGCATTTACCGACCGCTGCAGTGGCTGCACTTCCACGGGAGTTTATTGTCCCGTTAGCTCCGGGTTAGCTCACACGGCTCTAAAGTATTCACTGTCTGACTGTCACACAAGCAGCTGATACATATCCCCAGTTCCCCTTAAGTGAATGTGTGTCAGTCTGAATTGACGCTGTTTGGCATCACAACGCTGTTATGAAAGTTTCTCTGGTATAACATGGGTGATGTTAGCATAGCAACCGAAGCTAAACTGACTACTTGCTAAGCCGTTTTCTATAGGCACATTTTACCGGCGTATTTTTCATTATGATTCTACTTCTGATAGTCGGACATGACAACCTGTATAGCCCATGTATCTCCACAATGATCAATAACAGCGAACGGATGGTCAAAGTAAGGTTTCCTGCACGCCTCGACGTAAGAGACGTAAGCGACGCTGCGTCATAGCTCCGAAGCTCTTGCCTCTGGACCGACAATATTTTGGAGCTGGAAGTGAACCGCATTCCGGAGCTATGACGCGCCGCCGCTGCGGTGTGAACAGGAAAAACCGGCGCTTTTCAGGCTCTAGCTCCCAGCAGGAGCTGGAAAAGCGCCGGTGTGAAAGGGGTATTTGACTCCTGACTCTCCATTGCTCCAGAAGTTTCCCCCACAGTAAGAACTTGATAGGAAACTAGAAAATTCCGAGAAATGTTGACTGTGTGACTGAAACTTGGGTGTGCGTCCCGATGCTAACATTACCCCCGCTGAGTAAGTATTAATAGCATTAGTTGTATTGTTAAGGTACAACAAAGAATATCCATTAATTTTAGCTCACTTTTAGCTGACGATTTTAACTGTTTATCTATTACATTTTTGGATTATTGTACCACATTCCTGCATCGTTCCTTTACATCTTTAGATTACCACTGGATTTAGTTAACGACCGACAGGTGTCTTCAAAGATCAAAGCGTTTCCACGGCAACGCCCTGCCAGTGAACGAGAGACAGCCTGTCAGAGAATGTATTGACAATATTGTGCTGCATTATTGCTTCTAAGTAAAAAACTGTAACTCCAATCAGCTAAATCTCCTACCCAGAGTATTTAGGATACCAGATGAACACCTGATGGCTCTCGTGTTTGCTATGCAAGTCCGTTTGATTAAATGAGCATATCGGTGCGGCCCGGACAAATATCCCTACATTGTGATCACCAAAGTATGAAGAGTGAAAATTGTGGCCAGCCGAGCAATAGTTGGAAAAAAAACTCCACTACATTTTCCAGCTCCTCTCCCCTTTAGTCGTGATGTCACCACTCTAAGTCTTAACGAGCTTTCCCATACGGCCCCTCCACACGGTGGCGTGCGTTGAAGCTTCAGCGCTTCTGCCCATTCACTTTGAATGGGGTGACATCTCGCTTTGCCGAACTGCATTGTGTTTCCGTCGCTTCGCTTTGCTCGCGTTGCTCGCGTTGCTCGCTTCAAAGGTTGAGCAATGTTCAACTTTTGAAGCTTCGAAGGAAGCGTCAGCCAATCAAATCCTATGCCAGTACAAGCTCTAGCCAATCAAACCACGTGCTTGTGTGTCCAGGGCGGGAGATTCATGTGATTGGTTGTTGGTCGAGTTTCAGACACGCCCGCCGGTAAGCTTCAACGCACTCGTGTGGACGCTGCGATTCACATCCATTATAAAATGTGAAACAGTGTGAAATGTCCACAAAACGTAAGCTGCGACTACGTGAGAACCGTACTAGCTATCAAAAATATCCAAATAGTCTAATAAAGTCCATAGTCTCGAGAACCGTTTAAAGTTGGAATTATTGTTCTACGTTAAAGTATGCGGAATCTGTATGGGGTCAAAGGAGTGTTTCTGAGCTCTGTTCAAATGGATTTCTCATTCATTCCTATGGAGAAAATGATCGCAGTTTTCAGCAAATTTGCGTGAAAACGGCTAGGCGAATCTCTTATAAAAGACATAGCAACCCGATCTCGGTTATTACGAAACGTTTTGATGTGTTTTTTGTGTGTTTAGTGTCAACGCTGCCGGACGAGTAGCATGACAACATTTGTGGCAGAAGAAGGAGAATAAGATGAGATAAGTATGTTGAATACTATACTGTGTGTGGCTTCGCCAGTCACACAGAATAAGAAAGTATTTTATTTTTTGTTACACACCTGTTCTGTGCAGCTTCATCTGGGGCTTGCCTACAGACTCTTTTGCACAGGTCCGTCCGCTGTGCACACTTTCCTCATCAGTAAGAGTCACCATGAAGACATCAGTCTCCTGCTTTAGTTCAAGCTGCTCTTCCTCCTGACTGGTGCAAAGTTCCTCCTGTTCCTCTTTAATCTGTGGAGGCTCTGGGTCCTCTTGGTCCAGACTGGAGTTCCTTTCCTGACTACAGAGCTGCTGGTCAGTGAGAACCTCATCCTCATTACAGACATGTTGCTGAGGGAGCTCTGGAGGGACAGAAAATAAACAAAGTACTGTTAGTGTGGTGTTAGGGAAGCAAATTGCATTCAATGCTGGGCAATGGTGTTAAGATCAATATCACAATATCAAGACAACAACAAACAAGACTACAGAAATGCATAAAGCATGAAAAGAGTTTATTTAAAAAGCATGCGGCCACCCACTTAAAAAATATATATAATATGTTTTAACAATGTGTATTTTAACCGCTGTGCTGTGTGTTTGTTGTTTGAGATCTGATCATGAATTAATAAACAGAATGTGGTTCTATCATCACAATAGGATGCAGTATTTAGCAATCAATTCAACATGTAATGTCTTAACTGGTCAAGTAGTCCTATTCTATTTGATTGTTTATTTACAGCTGATTTCTTGAATATATATAATAATTAAATATCTCATACAGAAATGAGCAGAACATGGAAATACTTAATAGAAGAATAAGTCCCTCCTCAATATTATATATATGGGTAATTATAAAACGGACAAGTCAAATCAAGCAATCTGATTGGTTCTGAGCCGTGATATACTGAGCGTATACCACGGGTAGAATTGTAAGTTACTTTTCATCCCTCCGCGTCTGAGAAAAACAGTATACAGTTAAACTGGCACAAGAAAGCAGCGGAGAAGTAACGGGGCAGAAACCCTCCTTTTTACGCAGCAGCCCAGACATAGACATCAAACGGCAAAAACATATTCAGTGTACAGTTCCTTTGGCATTAGGGCAGGGATATCTAGATACTTTCCAAGGTTTGACATAATGAATTGTGCTACTTTTAAAGCAAGCAACGATGTTTTCAAATCTGTAATCAAAAAGGTCCGCAAAAACATTTAAGATTAACTTCGACCTCCGGGGGGGTCTTACTATGGAGGAGTGGATTGAGGAGTGCCTATCTCCAGAACAAAAAGCACCTAAACGACGACATGTAGAGCTACATGAAGAGCAGGTAGTAGACCAACTGGAAAAGTATCACCATTCAAAAGCTTTCTGATGTGGGTCTTGAAACAAAGCAGAGAAATTATGACCGTTAGTGGCCACAGGTGCGAAAGCTCTCTCCAGACCTACTGGAAGCCGAATCTCGGGGACCGGAAAAAGTGGAGCAATATTCTCGCCACGCCAAGCAACAGCCTAGAACAACCTCAGTCTATAACCACGTAAGCCATTCTACTGATGCTGGCAGTTTTTCAGTGGGTGCACAATAAATGGCAACATACACATTAATGTAAATAAATAGCCAAATAATGGATCAACGCTCTCTGTCTAGTACAGGGGTCGGCAACCCCTGGCACGCGTGCCAATGCTGGCACGCGGCACCGTAACCAGTGGCACACTAGGAATAAGTGGAATAAGTGTGCAAAATATTTAAATTGTATTTTCGGATCCTGAACGAGACCGCCACCAGAGCGCGTCTCCCTGTTACCTGCAGAAGGAAGCCATGCACGCAGCGCAACCCCGCTCTGTTTAACTCCAGGTGACTTTCTGCCGCTTTCCTCCGTGGTGCAGGGCTGATTGTTTCACCACAGAGGAAAGCACTTCACAAATTGCAGTACCCATAAGGAGCTGTACAAATGCCGCAGTTTTTGCGTGGCTGTGTCTTTAGTTGAAAGCCCAGTGGCGATCTGCTCATCTCTCATTGAAATAATATGCTACAAAGGGGCGGACTGGCCATCTGTGTGTTGAACTTTCCTGTCGGCTCCCAGACCGTAGTCGAGGAGGGCGGAAGCAACAAGCTTCAGGTTCAATAACCCACTTTAGCTTAAATGACTGGAGAGACGAGCTCTTCTTGGGAGGCCGTTGCATTTATTTAGCTGTTCTTCTGTTTCACAAAATACATCACAGACCTCTGTTTTTCTGCTGCCTCGTTTCACTTCCAGAAACATACACACGCTCGCTCACTCTCTCTCTCTCTTAAAAGGGACAGCGATCTCATCTCACTCCGCATGACCCTAATATCATAACATGTGTGTTCTGGAGAATCACAGAACGGACGATCGTCCTTATTATATGCCGTTTAAACCAATTATTTAAATGTGTTTGTTAAATTCGGCATCATGTAAGTTGCGCTGACAGGTCCACACACTGCTTCCCCGCAGCGAGGCCCCCCCGCCCTCCTGTTGATAGTTCACGAGCGTCAAGCTCCTCAACCCCCCCCCCCCGTTGATAATTCTCGATCATTGTCACGCTGATAACAATACAAAAATGTAATGGCACTTCATACCAAAGAGGTTGCCGACCCCTGGTCTAATATGTTCGCTAGCTGTTGTTATTGTTCCACCTCGCACTATGTTTCGTGCAGAGGGCAACGGAGGGACTATTTTATTTTGAACATCATTATTTACTAATAAAAACTATTTAAATTAGAGTGTGTATTTTTCTTTCATATTGCCACACTTGGTAACCGTTTTATAAAAGCAATAGCTCACTTCAGGCCGTGATATATGCTCATTATATCACAGCTAAGGGGGTTGTCGATACCTCCGCCGAACCACGCCCCTTAGCTGTGATATAATGAGCATATACCACGGCCTGTCGTGAGCTATTGCTTAATTATAAAACGGACAAGTCAAATCAAGCAATCTGATTGGTTCTTAGCCGTGATATACTGAGCGTATACACGGGTAGAATTGTAGTTACTTTTCACAACAAGTCAGTATCCCTCCGCGTCTGAGAAAAATTGTATACAGTTGAGCGGAAAAGCAGTTTACTTTTCGAACTGGGACAAGAAAACAGCGGAGAAGTAACGGGGCAGAAACCCTCCTTTTTACGCAGCGGTCCAGACATAGACATCAAACGGCAAAACATATTCAGTGTGCAGTTCCTTTGGCATTAGGGCAGGGATATCTAGATACTTTCCAAGGTTTGACATCATTAATTGTGCTACTTTTAAAGCAAGCAACGATGTTTTCAAATCTGTAATCAAAAAGGTCTGCAAAAACGCTATCGAAGCAGTTCCTACCGTTGCTACATAGTTCAAACAATAACAACGGACTATTTTTGATCTGCCCGTCGGGTATTCTTTTACCCATAATGACCGCCTCGCTGCACATTATCCCTTACTTAACTTCGACCTCCGGGGTGGCCTTACTATGGAGGAGTGGATTGAGCAGTGCCTATCTCCAGAGCTACTGGAAGCCGAATCTCGGGGACCGGAGAAAGTGGAGCAATATTCTCGCCACGCCAAGCAACAGCCTATACAACCTCAACCTATACAAGTAACCAAGTAAGCCATTCTACTGATGCTGGACAGTTTTTCAGTGGGTGCACAATAAATGGCAACATACAAATGAATGTAAATAAATAGCCAAATAATCGATCAACGCTCTCTGTCCAGTGGCGGTTCTACGGGGTGGCACGGGGTGGCAGCTGCCACCTCAGAAAAATGCCTTGCCACCCTAGTTGCCACCCCAGTTGGCAGCTTTGTTTTGAAAGAAAAGTTGTGGCTCATCGGACATTTATGAGAGAAAATCTCTAATGTCCGAGTGCAAGTGAATGCAGCACAAGACGCAAGCCTTGTAACCCCTCCCCCGGACCTGGCGCGAGCGTGGAAATATGATTGGCGGCGATTTCATTTGAACGGGGGGACAGCGCAAAACGAGAAGCATTTCGGATCCAAGCAGACGGAAGGAATGAGGTATTTGCGGTCTACAATGACAGAGAAGAGACTGTCAAGTTTGGTTGTACTCAGCATTGAATCAAAACGCACTAAAGCTTTGGTTCTTAATCAGTTTGTGAGGCGTTTTGCTGAACAAGATGGTAATCGCCGCATTCAGCTGTTATAGGCATGCCAACTTGATGCTCTGCTCACGGATGACTTGATGAGCATACAAAACTGTTAAGATGATGACCTTATGTGTGTATATATTTTTTTTCTTTGAGGGGGTCTGCCCCCAAAAAACAGTTTCAAGTCCTGATAAAGTAAAATAAGACGGTGTGTAAAACTACACTGCCCAGCCAAAAAAGAGTAACCACTTTGATTTAACTAGGCCAGTAGGTAAGGACTTTCCACTGGATAATAACTTACTGCAGCGATGTATATGTTTTAGCTGAATACACATTTTTTAACCCTAACTGATGCAGTTAGTTACTTCTTTAATGTTTGTTCTTTCTGATGTAAAGTCAAGGTTGTAACTGTTTGCAATGAAGTCGTGGGGCGCTGAACTGTTCCTTTGATTCTTTTGATATATGATAGTAATTACTTGTCTTTCAAATTTGAAGGAGGGTGAGCAAGCATCTTGAGGAACATTCATCATTAACTCCTCCAAAAAATATAGTTTATTCAATAATAACACTGAATATGTGAATCATAAAAGTGATTGACAGCTGATAGGAATAATATGATTGTTAATAGCATCATATTAATTTAGACCAGGGGTAGCCAACACGGTGCCCGCGGCGGCAACGTGAGTCGCCCGCGGGGCATTTTCTAAAAATAGCTCGCCAAGCAAATCCAAAATGTATAAAATACACAAAACAAAAAAGGAAATGTAATTAAAAGAATCTACCCTATGCATAAACGAAACCTAAATCATAGCGAACTCTATCTACTTACTACAACTCTATATAACACCCCTCCTCCCCCCACCCCCACAATGAATATCGACCAATCACGTTCTTGCTTGATTTGCGGGACCAGCGTTGCAGTCTGGAAGAAAAGCAATGTGGGCCACATGTGTTGTATAGGCTGGCATGATAGGCTGTTCAATGGGGCTGATGTGTTGTGTAGATTCTGCCAGAAGGAAAATCAGCGGGGAGGTGCCACATAGGGCAGAGTTTTACTGTGTGTGTGTTGCAACTTGCATATATATTTATTGCACTTGACGCACACACACGCATGGCGTAATTTCCACCTGGGACAGGGGGGAAATGTCCCCCGCTCTTTTCGAAATCCCGTTTGTGTCCCCCCCACTTTACAAATATGTTTATTATTATTTTTTAACGCAAGCCGTCATCGCCACGGAGGAGCACACAGCCTCTGTGAGCGAGCGAGACAGAGGGAGAGAGAGAGAGAGCGAGCGAGAGAGCTAGGGAGGGAGGGAGGGAGAGAGGGAGAGAGAGCGAGCGAGAGAGCTAGGGAGAGCATACCTTTATCCATTTAATATAGATAAAGTAAGAAATCATTCCAATGTGTATACTGTAGGACAGTAAAAAAAACAAAAAAACAGTTTGAAAGGGGAGTGATTAGTAAAATAAGCATAAATAGAAAGAAAGAATGCTAACTAGGTAACATAAGATAAGAATAAACAAGTTTAAATGATTTGTTATTGGTGGTGATCATATTCTAAAGATGTTTGGATTATTGAAAATTATAAAACGGACAAGTAAAATCAAGCAATCTGATTGGTTCTTAGCCGTGGTATACTGAGCGTATACCACGGGTAGAATTGTAAGTTACTTTTCACAACAAGTCAGTATCCCTCCGCGTCTGAGATAAACAGTATACAGTTGGGCTGAAAAGCAAACTGCCTGCAGTTTGCTTTTCAAACAGGAACAAGAAAGCAGCGGAGAAGTAACCGGGCAGAAACTCTCCTTTTGACGCAACGGTCCAGACATAGACATCAAACGGCAAAAACATATTCAGTGTGCAGTTCTTTTGGCATTAGGGCAGGGATATTTAGATACTTTCCAAGGTTTGACATAATGAATTGTGCTACTTTTAAAGCAAGCAACGATGTTTTCAGATCTGTAATCAAAAAGGTCCGCAAAAACATTTAAGATTAACTTCGACCTCCGGGGGGGGGGGGGGGGGGTCTTACTATATGGAGGAGTGGATTGAGGAGTGCCTATCTCCAGAACAAAAAGCACCTAAACGACGACATGTAGAGCTACGTGAAGAGCAGGTAGACCAACTGGAAAAGTACCACCATTCAAAAGCTTTCTGATGCGGGTCTTGAAACAAAGCAGAGAAATTATGACCGTTAGTGGCCACAGGTGCGAAAGCTCTCTCCAGAGCTACTGGGAGCCGAATCTCGGGGACCGGAGAAAGTGGAGCAATATTCTCGCCACGCCAAGCAACAGCCTCGAACAACCTCAGCCTATACAAGTAACCACGTAAGCCATACTACTGATGCTGGACAGTTTTTCAGTGGGTGCACAATAAACGGCAACATACACATTAATGTAAATAAATAGCCAAATAATGGATCAACGCTCTCTGTCTAATATGTTCGCTAGCTGTTGTTAGTGTTGTTGCATAGCAACCACCTCGCACTGTTTCGTGCAGAAGGCAACGGACGGACTATTTTATTTTGACCATCATTATTTAATCATAACAACTATTTAAATTAGAGTGTGTATTTTTCTTTCATATTGCCACACTTGGTAACCGTTTTATAAAAGCAATAGCTCACTTCAGGCCGTGATATATGCTCATTATATCACAGCTAAGGGGGTTGTCGACCCTCCGCTTCGCGTCGGGCCGAACCACGCCCCTTAGCTGTGATATAATGAGCATATACCACGGCCTGTCGTGAGCTATTGCTTAAGTATACAGCTCTCTTTCATCTGAGTGTTGAGAGCTGTATCCATCAATTCACCAGATTGATGCATTTCACTTCAACATTTAAAAATAATCTTCCCGGGGGTGCATGCCCCCGGACCCCCCTAGAGGAGGTGAGGACCCCCCTAGAGGAGGTGAGGTCCCCCCCTAGAGGAGGTGAGGCCTGTCCACCCCCAAATAAAGTAGGTTAAAATAATTAAATTGAATACATGTTCTTTTAGTAAACACTGAAAACGGGTCCCACAGACCCAAACAGCACACAAAGGTTAAAGGTCAGCATATCATAATGTTAAAATGTGCTAAATATATACACTGCAAAAAACTAAAAAAGAGGAGTAAAAGTAGCCCCCGACTTGTTTTATTTTTTGAAAGTAGCCCTCACCCTAAAAAAGGTTGGTGACCCCTGCTGTAGCGAGTAAAACTCTAACACAGAAAATACCTCCCCAAAACGCCTCGTTGGAGAGACGTCACTGCCCATTTGAGTCTTCCATTTAGTTCCGGGTACCGCATGGTGTCATGCGGTACCCGGAACGAAATGGACCAATCCCGAAGAGCTATGGCCACACCCAGCGGCGCTGGCCGCACCCTCTGCCAGCCTAACATTTACTGTTGGAAGCTCTGGTTCAGTTCACAATCGATCCAGTCATGCCAATGCCAAGGACCTGTTTCCTGAAATGTGAGGAGAAATCTGAGCTGTTTGTCCTGCCGACGGAAGAACCACGACGAAGTCAGTGGTTGAAATTTATTTTTAACACTGTTCCTTCAGAGGTTCGAAGAACATTACTGTGTGCGCGGCATTTCACAGACGAAAGCTTCCAAAACATTGCCCAGTTTGAGGCCGGATTTGAAACTGAAGGACGATGCTATTCCTAGTTTGTTTGGACCGTTTGGAGCAGGGGAAGATTCGGGTACACAACCTGTAAGTTTGCATTGTTATTTGTGTATTTATCAAACAAGGTATCTACCACGACTGTTTAAATGTGTAAACATGTTTCGGACTGCTAAGCCAGTGCTAACTAAGTTGCTAGCGTTTCCATATCAACTCTAATATCAGCAGATGGCCTTACATACATGTATCTCATAGCAGGAGAATGTCTGCATTCACACACGAAATACTCATAGACAGTATACTCCAGGTGATTTACCGTACGGTCAGTCGCGAAACGTAATTACATTATAGCTGGCGTTCCGAGCGTGTATGCTACCGAGCTAAACAACAAGGCTACTAAGAGCTAGACATGAGTTTGCTCGAAAAAAAAAAAAATGTATGCCAGCTACAATGAATGTAGCAGACTACCCATATAAGATTGCAATTGTAAACATGTGCTTGAGCCTAATATGAACCACTATCTGTTGTTCATAGTATAGTATAGCATATTGAACAACTAGCAAACGTAGATTAGCATTGTAATCCAGCTGGCAAGCTGACGAACATCAAACAACTAAGTTTATTTCACACTTCCAGCAGAGACAACGGGGAAATCCCCTCTCTTTGCCCACTCACAGACCCCCAAAGGACGGTACATTACAGTTGGCTTTCCTCCGACGCTGATAGCATGTATAGCTAACGAGGCTAGCTATACATGCTAGCGGGAAATATCGTATTCATGCCAGTTACAATGAATGACCGAACGTAGCAGACTACCCGTATAAGATTGCAATTATAAACACGTTATTGCTAGCCTAATATGAACCACTAGCTTTTGTTCATAGTAGTTTTATTACACTCCATTATAGTTGCCGTACCTCCGAGCTAACGTTCATATCGTGTTTGCTAACAAGGTAAACAAGAAAGCTAGGTTAGCATATTAGCTGGCAAGCTTACTGTGTTTATTAGATAGATGGATTAGATAGATCCACACTCCTACCACAACTACTACTAACGAATCTAAAACAACTAAGTTTCTCTAATATTTTGTGATTTGCATTTGATTTCGTCCAGCCAGATCCTGGCGGAAAATACATGACGGACGGGACTACCACACTGAGGCCTCGTCCTAAAAAGCCCCGGCTGCGATAGGCAAGATGCCGACAACGGGGAGGAATGGATGATATACCGTGTATATATGTATATTTATGTTCATTTTGTACATTTCTAAAAATAAAGTTTGATGGAAATACTTAGTAGGCCTATCCTTTCTTCCCTGAATGATTTGCTCCTATAACATATCATTCATATATAGCAAACCATGATTTGATTTCTCATCAAACAGTAGTAGTTTATTACAGGTAAAAATAACTTACTCTTCTATAACAACAGTTGTAGGTACAGTTCGGTTAGTTAGCGTATAAAATATACGGCTGTACCGACGCCATTATAAGACTGATGTTCCGAGAGCGAGCCGAAAAAAGCACTGTTAGACATGGGCAGAGCCTCTCTGGTGGTTGACTAATCAGAACAGAGTGGCCGAGCTGACCAATCGGAGCACAATAGGCTCACAAGGAGGGGGGGGCAAGAGCTCCAACGAGTCGTTTAGTGGAGAGAGTGAATACTGCCGAATACACATACTTTACAGAGATGCTGTATGCGAAACCAATGTGAGTTTGGAAAATTGCACAGTATAAATCTATTTTAGTATACCTCAACAATGTAATTATGATCAGTGGAAATGGCCATGACATGGGCCCTTTAATCAAAAAGAACAACACAATTGGTTTCATAGTTGAATTCAATAAATGAGTACTTTATTTCATGTAATATTATAATCGTTAAATATGGCATGATTTAATACAGTTTGTTTTATATGTTAAACCAATATGCGTAAGTGTTTATTGTTTCTTGTTCCTAGGAACTAATGTTTGTTCATGTACTGGTACTGCCTGTTTTGTTGATACACTGGACAACTCAACTTGGGTTGACGTCTTTATTTGAAGCTCTGCTGAAGTCTGTGACAAAGTTATAATTTGACAAGGTTATACGGAAAAGGAACTTTAAAGATGAATCTCCTTTCACGACAAGCGGCCAACGAGGTATTTGTTTTATGTTCTCACGTGTCATATTTTCATTCATATATGTGTAGCACAATATGCTAATATGTTTGGCTACGTATACGTGTAATTCGTTGTTGTAGTTCTCACGGCGTAACGGAAGAGGGGAGGCTACAAGATGAAAACTCCAAGAAATAAACGCCCGTTTTAAAGAACCGACCTGTGTCTGTGTCGTGAAGAGAGCTACACTCTTATAAAAGACATAGCAACCCGATCACGGTTATTACGAAACGTTTTGATGTGTTTAGTGTCAATGCTGCCGGATGAGTAGCATGACAACATTTGTGGCGGGAGAAGGAGAATAAGTTGAGATAAGTATGTTGAATACTATACTGTGTGTGGCTTCGCCAGTCACAAAGAATAAGAAAGTATTTTATTGTTTGTTACACACCTGTTCTGTGCAGCTTTATCTGAGGCTTGCCTACAGACTCTTTTGCACAAGTCTGACCGCTGTGCACACTTTCCTCATCAGTAAGAGTCACCATGAAGACATCAGTCTCCTGCTTTAGTCCAAGCTGCTCTTCCTCTTGACTGGTGCAAAGTTCCTCCTGTTCCTCTTTAATCTGTGGAGGCTCTGGGTCCTCTTGGTCCAGACTGGAGTTCCTTTCCTGACTACAGAGCTGCTGGTCAGTGAGAACCTCATCCTCGTAGACATGTTGCTGAGGGAGCTCTGGAGGGACAGAAAATAAACAAAGTACTGTTAGTGTGGTGTTAGGGAAGCAAATTGCATTCAATGCTGGGCAATGGTGTTAAGATCAATATCACAATATCAAGACAACAACAAACAAGACTACAGAAATGTGTTATGCATAACATTTATAAATAGATTTGATCAAATACAAATAAAAAACATTAGGCCACCAACTTTTTTAAACTATAACATTATTCTAACAATGTGTATTTTAACTGCTGTGCTTTGTGTATTTGTGATCTGTTGTTGGAGATCTGAATGTGAATTAATAAACAGAAAATAGCTAACGAGAGGCTTCAACCATAATGAATCCCATTCAGATTGTTTTATAATTTGTAAGTACTTGATAGGAAATAATAAAGTATTTCATTGTTTGTTACACACCTGTTCTGTGCAGCTTTATCTGAGGCTTCAAGACGGTATCCAATAATCTGCGCTGACGACAAATCTCCTCCTCGTATGCTGATAAAGCTTGAGCAAAAACTCCAAATATTTCATCGGCAGCTGCAGCTAGTCGCTCGTTGATAACACTTCTCAGTTTCTCAACTGCAGCCATTTCTACAGTGTGAAATATATGGATGTATGAAGAGACAAAATAAGCCAAACGAACTTTTATTTTTCTTGTTGGCATAAACTACACAACTTCCGGTGGAATGTTCTTCTTCGTTAGTTTAGGGAGTCATCTTCTTCTTCTTCTCTTTTTAATGGCGGATCGCAAACAGCTTTTGGTTGCATACCGCCACCTACTGTACACGAGTGTGTATCATCATGTCATCCCTCTAATAAACCAGCATATCGAAAACATAAAACTAAGAAACCATAACATAAAACAAAACATAAACAAAAAACAAATCATCCATGATCTATTCTAACCTACTGTTAGATTATTTTCCTTATCCCAGTTTCCCTCAAAAAGGTGAACAGTGCCTTTCTGGTAGCTCTTACTCCTTCTCCTTCTGTTCCCAGAATACCAGCTACATTCCACTCCCTCTCTGCCTCTAAAACTTTAGCCCTTAATTTTCCTCGTTCAACTCTATAGGTGACACAATGTAATAAAATATGTTCCACATTTTCCCTAACTCCACAGTTCCCACACTTGTCACTGTCACTTTTCCCCATGACATACAGGGTACCATTCATTGCAGTGTGATTTAGTCTGAGCCTAGCTATCATGATTTTCTCCCTTCTGTTTCTTTCTTTATAAATATTAATTGTAATTGTCTTTTGCACTTGATTATACTCTTTGCCTTTCTGGTCTTTCTCCCACCTTTTCTGCCAGATCTCCATCCCTTTCTTCTTAATTACTGCTTTTCCTTCTCCTTTTCCAAGTTTAACTGGTAATGTGATTTCCTTTTGTAGTGCACTTTTTGCTAATCTATCAGCACACTCGTTCCCTTTCACCCCCTCATGAGCAGGCACCCAGCAGAACTGAAGAGCTATACCGCCTCTGTGCAGTCTTAACAGGCTGTGATTGATTTCTATGAGTATGTCTTCTCTGGCAGTTGTTGTTGACTGTATGCTTTGTAAACTGGATAATGAATCTGTGCATATCACCAGCCTATCTGGTCTGACCTCTTCCACCCACTGTAATCCTATTACTACTGCCAGCATTTCTGCTGTATACACTGAAAGTTGGTCTGACGCTCTTTTTGATATCGATATTTTAAATTCTGGGATATATATACCAATTCCGACACACTCTTCCTTGTTCTTAGAACCATCTGTGTATATTTTGAGGTAATTGTGATCATTACTCCTGAGGTACAAACTTGTTTTGAATCCTACTTCATTTATTTGCCACTCTCTTTTCTTTTCTACAATACTCACATCTATATTTACTATTGGAAAAAGCCATGGGGGTACACTACTGAATGGATTTGATGGTGAAAACTCTAACTCATGCATGCCGTATGTCCTTATTCTTCCTTTACTTGTCCATCCAAACCCACGCCCCTGAAACTTGGAATATTCCCAGCACTCCTGAAATGTTTTGTTTGTGACATTTCCTTCCCCACTTCCTTTTAACCTGACCCAATAAGCAAGAGCAATTGTCTCTCTTCTTAGCTCCAATGGAGTCTCTCCTGCTTCAACTAATATTGCATTAGTAGGAGTTAACTTAATTGCACCTATACACAACCGTAACGCTTTATATTGTAACCTATCAATTTTTAGTAATGACGTTTTTGCTGCTGCTGCATATACACCCGTAATCCAGAGTTGTCCTCATAATTGCCCTATAGATGTCGATTAATGCCTGTTTGTCTGCCCCCCAGTCACATCCAGCCACTGCTCTTAATAGGTTCAACACTTTTGGGGATTTTGTTTCCAAATGTTTAATATGAGTTTTCCATATACATTTACGATCTAACCATAGCCCCAGATATTTAAATTCATTGACCTCATTTATCGGCTTTCCATATAATGTAAGCTTCTCAGTCTCCATTTTACGTTTATTCGTAAATTTCATGAAGCAAGATTTGCTTGCTGACAGCTTGAAACCCCAGTTGTATGACCACTTCTCCACTTTCTTTATAGCTTTCCCTATCTTTTCAAAGACATATGGAACATTTCTTCCCCGTATCCATATGGCCCCGTCATCTGCATATAGCGCAGATTTTATGCATCCATCCAAATTACTAAAAATGTCATTTATCATAACGTTAAATAATATCGGGCTGATTGAACTCCCTTGAGGAATGCCATTTTCTATACTGCACTCTTTTGAAACCTCTGCCCCTACTTTAACTCTGAATTTCATGTCTGATAAAAAAGCCATGATCCAGTTATACATTCTCCCTCCAACACCCATTCTACTCAATTTGATGAGCAACCCATCCCTCCACATAGAGTCATACGCCTTTTCAATATCAAAATATACTATTGCCATAACCTCTTTCATTTTCATTGTCTTTTGAACCTCATTGCTTACTCTTACCAAAGCATCAATTGTGGATCTTCCTTTATGAAAACCACTCTGAAAATGACTCAGTAACCCTCTCTGTTCTAAGACGTGTGATAGTCTATGCACTATCATCTTCTCCATCCATTTACACAAGTGTGATGTAAGTGCTATGGTTCTGTAGTTATTGGGATTAGCAGGATCCTTCCCTGGCTTATTAAATGGCAATATGACTGCCGTTTTCCAACTCCTTGGTAAGACTCCGTTTCTCCAGATTTTATTAAATAGTCTCAGTACTAATTTGAATGTTTCCACAGGTAATTGCCGGAACATGGCATAGCATAACTGATCTTGTCCTGGTGCTGAGTATCCTGTACCTTGTAAAGCTATTTTAAGTTCTGCTATTGAGAAGTCTACTTCAAGAGCTGATTTATCATCCCGTCTTTTTTCCCTCACATTTTCATTTTCTCTTGATACACACTCTTTTTGCTGTCTATGTTTGTCATCCAGGTGCTCCCCACTATGCACCGCGGCAAATGCCCTACCTAAACATTCTGCCTTCTCTTCATTTGAAACTGCCACTTTATCCCCATCAATCAAAGCGGGAATTTTAACCGACTTCCTTTTCCCATTCATCCGTTTAAACATAGACCATACATCCCCTAACTTTACTCCTCTTCCAATGGTGGAACAAAACTCTCTCCATGACGTCTTTTTTGTGTATGTTATTGTTTTACGGGCTACTGCCCTTTTCCTTTGATAATCTGTAATATAAGACCTAAATGCCTTGTTTCGTTCTTTAATAGCTCTGCTACATTCCTCATTCCACCACGGCACCACCTTCTTCCTACCCTCTGTTGTTCTTTTTGGTATAGTTTTATTTGCTGCTTCTTTAATGTGCATTGTGACTTTGAGCATTCCTCTATACTTCCTTCTAATGCTAACAATTGTGCTGACTCCTTACAGTAAAGCCTAAATGTTTCCCAGTCAGCTTTACCAAAGCACCACCTGGTAAATACACTCCCTTCCTGTCTACATACATTTGTGTTGATGATTGTAAAAACTGGGGTAATGATAACTTCCTATGGTAGAATCACCTTTTACATACCATTCACATGATTTAACTAAACTATCCGTCACCAGTGTGAGGTCCAAACATGATTGTGTCCCCCTATTCACGTCTATTCTTGTTTTTTGTCCATCATTAAGGCAAAACAGTGATCTTTCCTCTAGCATTTCTTCTACGACATCCCCATTACTGTCTGTTTGACTGCTTCCCCATAGGCTGTTGTGAGCATTACAATCACCACACCATACTTCCCTTCTATGAGCCGTCCCTGCTATTGTCTGTAAGGTTTCAATGTTCAGATTTTTGCACGGGTTATAGAAATTGATAAGCTTTATGTTCCCTTCTTTCCTTGGGCTGCATATTTCTACTATGACACATTCCTTGTCTTCCGGGGATGGAACTACCCTATAGGCCAGCCCATCCTTTAGGAAAGTAACACACCCTCCACCATTTTGATTGCTAACTCTATCATATCTTATAGAGCTGAACCCTGGAATCACAAAGTCTAGATGAGGTTTTAACCAAGACTCTTGCACACAAATTACATCTGGCAATGTTTGTAACTTATAGACATATTTTTTAAACTCCTGTCCATTAGCTATGAGGCTTCTAGCATTCCACTGGAGTATGTGAATTACCATTAAGAACGTGCTAACCCTCATCCTGATTGTCCGTTTCTCCCACATCTTTTGTTGCTAGTAATTCATGTATCTGGTCTGCTTTTATATCTCTAATGTTAAGGAATTTCCCCGCTGCCTGCACTATGGTTTTGATTCTGTCACTTTTCTTCTTCAGCTGTGCTGCAACATTAATGGTATGGCAGATGAAGGCCATAAAATTGACTTTCTTTACCACGAGAATGCTATCATCTTCTTTATTTTCCACAGGTACTTGGCTTTGATTTGTAACCTGACTTTCTGTAATGTTGCTACCACTCTGTACTAAGTTTCTTTGAACCCTTCCACTCGGAGCCTGATTGTTTGCTTCCGTTTCCCTAACCTTCTTTAGAGCTTCTGCATATGAGACTTTACTGAGTACTTTGACCCTCTGAGCTTCTCTGGCTTCTCTCTGCACTACACATCCACCAAACGCCGCACTGTGCTCTCCTCCACAATTACAGCATTTCATCTTTGACCTCTTTTTCACATTTCCCATACTCATGCTGGCCTCCACATCTTGCACACCTTAGTTTTCCTTTACACTGCATTGCTGTGTGTCCCATTCTTTGGCATGCATAGCCATTTCATTTTATTTGACTGTATATTTAAGATACAAGAACATTCTGTTCTTGTATCTTATTCTATTTACATGTATCTTGACTCCTAAATGTACTTAGTCACTTACAACACTCTCTGCATTATTTAGTTTATTGTATTTATTTATTGTTCTGACATGTATATATAGATTACTTGATCGGCATTACTTGCACATTGGTCTTGCAACATAAACTTATTCTACTCTTTTCTACTGTTTCTTCTTGCACTATTTCTATTTTGTATTTGTTTGTATCTGTTTTATTGTGTTATGTCCTATATAACTATGTTACAATGTTGGAGGAGCTTGGGACTTCAGATTTTCAATGCCATTTTCTACACTGTAGCTACTGTGCATATGAAAATAAAGCCTTTCAATTTTGAATCTTTGAATTTGAAATGCTTTTCCCCGGCAGAGGTGTAAAGTATATTTACTCAAGTGCTGTAACATTTTTAGATACTTGTTCTTTACTTGAGTATTTCCATTATTTGCTAGTTTGTACTTCTACTCCACTACAATTCAGAGACTAATCGTATACTTTTACTCCACTGCATTTATTTTTTACCTTTAGTTATTTTACAGACTTGGATTAATGATGTGAAATATAATCAACACTTAAATAAGACTTTAGTAACACCTGGAGTAAATTCACAATCTACCCTGCAGCAAACAAAGTGATTAAAACTAGCTGCACCTTTACCAGCTTTGACTAACACTTTAATGCATCAATAATTATTATTAAAATATATAATATATATTATTCTGTAAGGGGAAATCTGCACAATAAGTGCTTTTACTTTTGTACTTTTACTTGAGTAACCTTTGAATGCAGGACTTTAACTTGTAACAGAATATTCCTACACTCTTGTACTTCTACTTTTACTGAAGTACAAAATGAGTACTCCTCCCACCTCTGTAAACCGGTGTGGGACCTTGTGTAGATTTTTTTACTTTAAGAAATCATGAAACTCCCCATTTTAAACATTTGCTCTCTGGTTCCTGATCAGTACTGGTCTTCTTGTGAATTGCTCTTGCATGGCTTTCGACTCTGTGAGAGTTGTGAGAAAGGTAGTGGACACTTTGGTTGGGATGAATCTGGGCCCTTTCTGTCAGATTCAGATTGTAATATTATAACTGAGATGTTGGTCAGTGGCAGTGAATCTGTGCAAATTTAACATGTGAATTTTACTGAGGCCATTGTAACCTTGCTGTGCTATTTCAACATTCATTATAATAAAGGAAATGAGAAGGCTCTATTTAATAGCTATCATTAACATGATTCATATTTTTTAAGCCATTGCAAAGACAATGTTTTAAATAAAATAAAAAACACAGTACAAGGGTGGAACGACTTTACATAGTAATGTGTGAACACTTCTTCATGGAAAACCTTAATCAGAAACATAGATAGACGTTTTTCATTTAATTGATAGCCGTCAAATGAATGTACCGGCTTGGAAAGTATTCTCCTGTAAAATGAAAAGTAGAACTTGATGTTGCATGAAAGGAAAGCAATAAGATGCCATCTGAGAACCATTTCGTTTTTTATTTGAAATTGTTCAAGATCTTACTTGTGTTTCAAATGCAATCTCTTATTAGTATTACAAAGTTCAATATGAGGCAACTCCGGTGATCAAACTAATCAACGTTTTTAAATAATATAATAACTTAAGCTCAAGCCCATGTGGACATCATTTAAACATCTACTGTTTGTAACAACTTACATCCACTTACTTATTATGTCAGTCATACCAGCTGCCTGGATGACCCTCATTTGCTTATATCTTTAGCGTTTAGGGTGAATCTGGTATTCTTACATCATCACCATACAAAGCTTTATTGTTAGATACATGCATTAGATCACACAGCATTAAGTGCACCGATCATTTATATTCATTAAAGCACAATGTCGATTATTATTTCCAACTTCAGCTTGAGTGTCACCTTGAAACCAAAATAACAAAAAAAACAATTTGATTCCACTACAAAATACATAAATATACAAAACAAAATGACATGTTGAAAACATAAAGAAATCTATTTGCAACTTAATTGCAGTTTTTTAAATCTTCAGCATAGGTTGCATTGCTCAGTCCCAGAGGTAGCTGCCTGGTGAACATTCATCCAGATGAAAAAACTGCTGCATTTATGTGCCTTGTCACTTGTGTGGGTACATATGGAAATCTACTTGTGGTGTAAACCATGTATTACCTTTTCAATTCAAAGTTATGCCTTCTCGGCAGCGTGAATCCTTCTCATGTGGTTCAATAATCCATGGTTATGTCTGAAATTGTTCCCACATGCTTTACAAGTAAACGGTTTCTCACCTGTGTGAGCTTTCATATGCCTTTTTAATGCTGACATGTCAATGAAGCTTTTCCCGCAGGTCATGCAAACATACGGTTTCTCACCTGTGTGGATGCTCATATGCCTTTTTAATTTTGACGTCTCAACGAAGCTTTTCCCGCAGGTCACGCAAACATAGGGCTTCTCTCCTGTGTGGACTCTCATGATGTGAAGCTTAACGTTACAGTTCATTTTGAATTTTTTTCCACATGTTTTGCAAGCATATTTCTTCTCAGCTGTGTGGACGCTCATATGCCTTTTTAATGTTGCCGTCTCAACGAAGCGTTTCCCGCAGGTCATGCAAACATAGGGCTTCTCTCCTGTGTGGACTCTCATGATGTGAAGCTTAACGTTACAGTTCATTTTGAATTTTTTTCCACATGTTTTGCAAGCATATTTCTTCTCAGCTGTGTGGACGCTCATATGCCTTTTTAATGTTGCCGTCTCATTGAAGTGTTTCCCGCAGGTCATGCAAACATACGGTTTCTCACCTGTGTGGATTCTCATATGCATTTTTAATTTTGACATCTCATTGAAGCTTTTCTCGCAGGTCACGCAAACATATGGCTTCTTATCCGTGTGGGTGGTCATGTGTCTTCGCAGCATTGACATGTACTTAAAATCGTTCCCACATGTTTTGCAAGTATATTTCTTCTCACCGGTGTGGACTCGCATGTGTTGCTTCAAGGAACTACTTTCTCTGAAATCTCTTCCACATTTTTGGCAAGAATATGGCTTTTCATCCGTGTGGGTGGGCATGTGTCTTCGCAATAATGACAAGTACTTAAAATCTTTCCCACAAGTTTTACATTTAAAATTATTGTTCACTGTGCAAGTATTACGTTGCATGTCTGACAAGTTAGCGTTGTTTACATTGTTCCTTTTGGTTTTGTGATGTCTTTTGTTTATTTCTGGATCTGCAGTTCTTGAGATGAGCTGCAGATGACTTTGCACTTCTGATACCACAACGCTTATAACTGGCATGTTGCCTACAGACTCTTTTGCACAAGTCCGTCCGCTGTGCACACTTTCCTCATCAGTAAGAGTCACCATGAAGACATCAGTCTCCTGCTTTAGTTCAAGCTGCTCTTCCTCCTGACTGGTGCAAAGTTCCTCCTGTTCCTCTTTAATCTGTGGAGGCTCTGTGTCCTCTTGGTCCAGACTGGAGTTCCTTTCCTGACTACAGAGCTGCTGGTCAGTGAGAACCTCCTCCTCATTCCAGACATGTTGCTGAGGGAGCTCTGGAGGGACAGAAAATAAACAAAATACTTGTTAGAGCCAGTATTTTGCTTTCATAAGAAAGGCCACCTAATTGTGACGTCTGTAGTCAACGCACTATAAAGGACTACAATTCCCACGGCGCCTGTGCTAAAGCCACAGTGATGGGCAACCTGTTGAGAGACGCCATCGAGGAACAGTTTTTAACCGTACACGTACACGTACATACAAATCGTACAAGTACCCTTTAAGTTATGAAGTTATAAGCATTATCAAGAAAGAAAGAATACCTAAGTTGTTTGTTATTTTATTTGAGTTTTGCCTATTTCTTTTGAATATTGTAAAGGCCTATTTTCTTTGTTGCATGTGCACAAGTTTGTTATTTTATTTTGAGCAAACACATCGCAACATCATCTATACCATCGGAGGCCAAGCAACACTTCAAACTGTGAGTAATTTAAAGGAAAGAAACGAGTTAGAACTGTCTGTTTAAGGCGTCTAGTGGCTTGATGGAAAGACAAGGAAGGAAGCCACGACAGTACTGTTAGTGTGGTGTTAGGGAAGCAAATTGCATTCAATGCTGGGCAATGGTGTTAAGATCAATATCACAATATCAAGACAACAACAAACAAGATTATAGAAATGCATTATGCATAACATTTATAAATAGATTTGATCAAATACAAATAAAAAACATTAGGCCACCAACTTTTTTAAACTATAACATTATTCTAACAATGTGTATTTTAACACAGCCAAAAAGCGAGCTGCGTTCATCCCCATCAAGAATTCTCTTTACCAGAAAGGAATACAATTCCGCCTGTTGCACCCAGCTCGTCTTCATGTTTCATTCAGAAATGACGACTACTACTTTGACTGTCCGCAAAAAGCCCAGGGGCCTCATTTATAACGCCTTGCGTAGGATTGACGTGAGAAGGTTGCTTACGTAGTACAAAGCAAAAAAATAGGTACAGACATTTTCCGACATTTTCCGATTCACAAAACATTGCGTACCGGCGAGGGAAGTGCGTACAGGTGTAGGTACCATATGTGTTCGGCCTACCAGATGTGTTCGGGGTCCGTTACGCTTACCAATGACGTCACGCATTGGCTGTACGGTAACCCAAGAGGACATTTTACACGGTCAAATTCCGAATGTATTGAAACTCCAGACTCAACGTAAGAGCTTGAGCCTCTTCGGGGGGTGCTAACATTTAAACATACACTTCATTCTTTACTTTGTCCGTTATTATATGTAGAAGATATTACTTTTTTCTCCGTCATGTTGTTTCCATAGCAACAACTTCAAAATAAATAAATCTAAATAGATGTGTGTTCTACACACCAAAATACGTTATTTGAACACCCCTCTCGATCGATTTACAACAAAAAAAATAGTATGGCCCGCCCTAATACACCAACGCAGTTTTTAAAGATATACATTTTTCAACACAGAATCATTTACCAAATTACACTATATCCAATCATTTTACGAGTCAGAAAATGCTATATGTTCATTGCAGTTATTGTTTATTGAATTAGATTACCATGAGCTCAACATAATTATGGAGAGTAGGCCTACAAGTCCACAGCCAAGAAAATGTTATTTGCATTTCATTTTATTTATGAATATGGAATTATGGAATTCTAACACTGGAGTTTGTTATTATTTACTATAACTTTATTATAGTATTCGGGTACAGCCCTACTGTACCCGAATATCCGTTCGTTGGTGTACTATTTCGGGTTTCAATTTCGTTATTCGGATATTCGTTTTGTTTGTTTTTTCCCCGTTTTTTTTCAAATTGAATTTATTGAAATCTCCAATATCAACGTAAGAGCTTGTGCCTCTTCGGGGGGTGCTAACACTTAACCATAAACGTTATCGTTTACTTTCTCCGTATTTATATGTAGATATTACTTTTCTCCGTTAAACTCTGTCACGTTGTTTCCAAAGCAACAACAACTTCCTGTCAACTGCGCTAACTCTCCTTCAAAATAAAAGCATGTCCATACCGTACAGCCAATCACAATGCGTGACGTCATTGGTAAGCGACGGACCCCGAACACATATGGTAGGCCGAACACATATGGTACTGACACCGGCACTTCCTACGCCTGTTTCCCTTTATAAATCACAATCGACTCGAAATGCGGCGCAGCTTTTGCAGGCTTCACGTAACGCCCATATTTGCCTATAAATAGTCAAAGAAACGCCCATTCATTCATTCATTTTGACTGACTGCATGAAGAAGATCGCAGGAAATTACGACCGAACAGCTAAAAAAGACATCTCACACCGTGTCAGATTTAGGTTATTGTGGGGAGGTCGAGATAAATCATATTGTTTGGTGGATGCAGTTTGAACCAGAGTAGCAGCATGGAGGTCGGATCGTCACCAAAATAAATAAATAAGTGGTCCGAAAAAAGTTAATGACAAAAAAAATACACATAACCTTCCTCAGGCAGTGTGTTTGTACCGGGGACAGGAGACACCCCCTTGATGAGAAACTGTAAGAAATGATCGGGGAATCCCTCCGGAGTGGAGTCATGACGACTGGATCTGAATTATTTTGTTGTATTTGGTGGTTTGTGTTCCAGCTGTCGATCAGCAACTATATATCCATAATCCACCAGTTAAAGGAAATACAACTAATGTGTTGTGTTATATTAGCTGTACAATTTACCACATAGGCCTATGGTGTTCTTAGTTTCCATACCTCCTGTGTTTTACGAGCGACTTATCAAGTCTTGGCAAACGGCATAAAACACGATTAAACGTGATAGTATATAAAACCATGCTCGTATCTACAACCTATAGAAATGCAAAACGGCGTCAGTTTAGACGTTATTCTGTCCTCCTGCTTACCGCATCATTTATGAGAAAACATTTCATAACAGTAACACAACATATTCGAGGTGGTTTTAAATAACATATCTGTATTTATATATTTCTCCAAGTTATGTGTTTGTGTGCACTGAGGAGTCTCAAACAGGCGTTTGTTTAATCATTTTAAGATTGGCTTTAATCAATGTTTGAAAATGAATTCTTCATATTTGATAAATGAGAGGTAACATTTTATTTATGGTATTATTTCCACATATTTCTCTCCATTCTTCCTTCTGCCAACGGTGTCGCAGTTTCTCGTCTCTCCCGTTTGTGTGCTTAGTGCGTACGCATGGGTTAGAGTTTGCGTGGAGGACACAAGCCCCCAGGAAGTGCGCCGGACTCTGATGAAAATATTCGTGCTGGCCAAACGGCGGTACTACACTTCCTTTTGGTTGCCAGGCCCGGAAACACTTTTTCCCATTGACTTACATGGGGAAAGAGTGGTCTGTAAATCGTTGGATAATTTTTTTTAAACTAAATAAACTACCCAGTATGAACACTTGTATAGCCCTTATTAAAAACATTCGTTCCTAAAGTTGTAAAAATGTGCTAATAACGTTATTCTGTGAGTTATTTCCCTCTGCATTATGAACGCGCATCTAACCCACGGGACCGCGCCGCCCGGCACGTTCATGTTACGTGTTCAGCACTACATGCGTTTATCTTTACCCATGGATGCACAATAAGAACGGACCCATATCGTCTTACTGCCAGCCCACGGAGCTGTAATAATGGATATATTGCACATGTTTGCTGTAATTCATCATTTGTAAAATATTATATTACATGGGCTGTATGATTAAATCTTGTACCGTAAATGTTGTATTAAATAAAGTTAATATTACCGACGTAGATTAACGTCCCTGTAGCTTC